AAAAAAAAAAAAAAAAAAAAAAAGTCCCTAGAGGATTGGGATTTGGGGTTCTGTGGAGGCAGAATTGTAAATAGAAATGAACCTTGTATTTATGGCAGGAAGCTGTCAGATGTGATGAAATTTCCAGAAAGCCCAGTTTTGGGGACAGGACACACTGGGGGGGAGGGTTGTTAGTTGTTAGGTGCTGTCAAGTCGGGTTCCAACTCATAGCGACCCTATAGAGACTGAAACACTGCCAGGTCCTGCGCTATCCTCACAATCCTTGCTACGTTTGAGCCCATTGTTGCAGCCATTGTGTCAGTCCATAGCATTGAGGTCTTCCTCTTTTTTCACGGACCGTCTGCTTTACCGAGCACGATGCCGTTCTCCTAGGAGTGCCTCCTCCTGATAACATGTCTTGCCACTCGCCTCTCACAAGCGTCCTCTCTGTACTTTTTCTGAGACAGTTTTGTTCATTTTTGTGGCAGTCCATGATATATTCAACATTCTTTGCCAACAGCATAATTCAAATGCATCAGTTCTTCTCTTTTTTATTCATTGTCCAGCTTTTGCATGCACACGAAGTTAACAAAAACTACCATAGCGCGGTGGAAAACCATGAAACCAAACCCACTGCCATTAAGTAGGTCAGCACTCATAGTAACCCTATAGGACAGAGTAGAACTGCCTTACAGGGTTTTCAAGGCTGCAAATCTTTACAGAAGCATACTGCCTCATCTTTCTCCTGATAGAGTTTGAACTGCCTTTTGATTAGCAGCGGTATGCTTTAAACATTAGGGCACCAGAGCGCCTTGGCAGGTTACAGGGGGGCAGCGAACTCCTCGCCAGGGATCCCTTCCCACTGTCGCACTGGGGCTCCCACAAAGGTCTCGGACCTGATGCAGCCCCTTCTTTCTCAGAAGAGTGCATGCTGGGCAAGTAAGGAAGCCAATCAGCTCTTTTCTTGCAGATGGGGCCCACACCCCCTCCCGCCTTGGGGCGGAGCTTCAATTTAGCTCCGCCCAGAAGTACGGCATGGCTGGCCCCGCCTCTTCCGACAGTCTCCCGGCAACCCCACTTTGGGCCTCTGCGCATGTGCGTTCCCAGGCCGGGGCGTTCCCTCGCGATAGTCCCGTGAGGCAGTGCGCGCGCGCTAGGTGCCGGAGCGCGGCGACTGTGGCAGCTTGTGGGGCGTATGCCGGAGTCTTTTGAGGTGAGGGGCGCTGGCCAGCGAGCTCTGGGCGTTGCGGGGTGTGGGCAGGTAGGATCGGCGGCGTTCCCCCGCCTTCCTCCTCTGTCATTTTTCTTTCCCTGCGTCCTTGGTGGCTCCTGTCAGGCGCGCGAGTAGCCACCTGTGCGCCTCAGTCGTTGTCCTTGGGCGAGGAGCCGGGGAAGGGGCTGTGGGAGAGGGGCGTCGCAGGCCCGGAGGCGCCGTGAGGCTGAGACGACTGGCGGGCAGCCGTGACGGAGCCGGGGCCTTGCTCTGGCTCTGGTGCAGACAGATGGGCGGTGTCGCGAGCTCCGCAGAGCCAGTCACCTTTTCGAGATTTTTGCCGTTTTTAATGCCAACAGAGTATATTTTATTAACGTTCATAAGGCTTGACTGAATTACACCAAAAACAAAAAACCGAAACTTTTTGTCTGAATCGTGTTAAGTGTATTATGCATTCATCATAGGGCTTGTCACCACCTTTAATGCTGGCTTAGTTAAGTCTGTGGATTTTTCAGTAGTGTGCTTGTTGAAAATAGAAAATGCCTGAGACATTTTTACTTAATGACTACATAGGTGCTTTTAAGTAATCCCCTAATTGTTTGTCTTTATCAGACAATTACTTATACGGGTCCCAAATATCACGTGCCATTCATTGTCATCTTTTAAAAATGCAGTCACCTTATTTGTGGTCTAATACTAATTTTTTTTCTTCCCTCCTAGGAAAAAGCATTAAAAATTCTAAAAATATTTTTTCCCTTCTTTCTGGACTTAATGTAAAGTTAGTTTTATGTGTATTTAGGTTTATTTTCTAAAAATCAACACCATAAACCCATATATCAATTATAAGATATTTGAGTAGTTAAACCATGAGTTGTGGAAATGAGTTCGTGGACACTTTGAAAAAAATTGGTTATCCCAAAGCTGATAGGCTAAATGGAGAAGATTTTGACTGGTTGTTTGAGACTGCTGAAGATGAATCATTTTTGAAGTGGTTTTGTGGGAATGTGACTGAACAGAATGTATTGTCCGAAAAAGAATTGCAAGCTTTTAGCACTCTTCAAAAATCCGGCAAGCCCATCCTCGAAGCAGCAGCGTTGGATGAAGTCCTTAAGACGTGTAAAACTTCTTATTTGAAGACACATAGCATGGATGACAAAGAGCTAGAGAAATTAGAGGAGGAGGTTAAAATTCTGCAGAAGTTAAAGAACCTAAAAATCCAGCGACGTAATAAATGCCAGTTGATGAGTTCAGTAATTAGCCACAAATCTCTGAGGGTACGTGTTCAAGGAGAAGAGGCCACTAAAAAGCTGAAGCACAGCCAAGGAGTTCTAAATGCAGTGACTACTCAAATCAGTAATGAACTTCAGGCTCTAGCAGACGGAGTTGCAAAACTGATGATGTTCTATAAACCGTCTGATTTAGGGCAAGGGACAAATCCACGGGTGTTTTTATCTCAGTTTTCCTTGGAAAAATACCTAAGTCAGGAAGAGCAGAGCACAGCAGCATTAACCTTATATACCAAAAAACAGTTCTTTGAGGGTATACACGAAGTAGTTGAAAGTTCAAATGAAGAAAATTTTCAAATCCTAGACATACAGACACCATCTCTTTGTGATAATCAAGAAGTCCTTGAAGAGAGACGACTAGAGATGGCTAGGCTGCAGCTAGCATACATCTGTGCTCAACATCAGTTAATTCACTTGAAAGCAAGTAATTTGAGCATGAAGTCAAGTGTCAAGTGGGCGGAGGAGAATCTTCATATCCTGACCAGCAAGGTGAGCATGAAATATGAGACTGAGTCATATCGTAACTGTTAGGGTTGGAGGTATAATATTGCTGTTAAAGTATGTTCGTTTCTTTGTGGTGCTTAGTTGTGACGTGTGCCAGTGTTTCATACAAATAGATCCTCACATTAATGGAGGACAGAAAAGTAATTATAACTTGAACTACAGATTACCTAGTTAATTTTACAAAAGTATTTTGCATTCTCAATGTGCACTTTGTTAATTCAGATGCAGACAGAATTGACTTTTTAAATGACGTGTGGATAAGAGCCTTTTTGCTATGCTACGAATACTCTTGTTTGGTTATATGACTGTTAGATGTGGTTGTTGTTGTGTGCCGTTGAGTTGGACCAGATTCATAGTGACCCCTCCTTGGGTTTCCGAGGTGGTATCACTGTGGAAGTCAAGTGCCTTAGGCACTACGGCACCAGAGCTCCCATAACTGACCTTTGGAATAATGTAAGGAGGCCACTCTGTCCTATAGGGTCTCCATGAGTTGGAATCAACTCCTTGGCAGTGGGTTTGTTTTTTTGGGTAACTCTTTTCAAGTGCTAAAATTGGTTGATTAAAAGAATAACTGCCAGGCTAATTTTATTTTAACTTGAAGAAAAATATAACTAGCATACATTTGTAATCAAGTGAGTAGTATGTTAATTATGATTGTTATTAAGTAAAACAAGCATGGCAAGATATGTGTTTTGTTAGCAGTTACTGTGTATGTATGTATGTATGTGTGTGTGTGTGTGT